CTGCTCGAGATTTCCTCCCTTCCTATTCAGGGCCAGGTCCTTGCCTCACCGCCGACAGCCCCCATCCCCACCACGGCAATCCTGTCGTTCGATACTTCCTTGTGCTTTACCCTTCGCTGGGGTTCCACTGGCAGTCTCGCATCGGCGCAGCAAGGCGCGGGCATGTGTTTTCGAGGCGGGATATTTTGAAATTCCTCGGAGGAAGTATTTTCGTGGGGGGTTCCCGTACGATTCGAACGGCTGCCCTGCCGCCGGCGGTGTCGGCGATCCGCGAGGCGCCTGCCCCAGAGGGGCGTCGGGATGGCACGGGGCCTGCCCCGGCCGCAGGTGATCGCCGACGGGAACGACAAGGCCCGCTGCCCCACGGCCCCACGGCGGCTTTTTTTTCAAATGATTTTCGGCACCTGGGGGCCCCTAATTACTTCGGGGGTGGACAGAGTCCCCACCCTGACACGTCGACTAGTGAATGGTCCGTTCTCGGTTCTCGAGGTGACGCCGCGGCCGTCATTTTCCAGTCTTGCGCCCGCCAGGTTTGGGCCCAAGGTAGTTTTTCGTTGAACCACTTTCTGCTAAATGGGGTTCTGTCCATCCCCGATTACTCGGCCTTCGGGACCGTCAAACATCGACTGAGGACGAAAAAACGGAGATCCCGCGGGCAGGGGTCGAGACCCCTGGGCGTCGACGAAGTGAAAAGATCATGACGTCGGGGGTCTGTCGGACGGGGCCGGGACGAGGATGAATCTGTTCCACCGCGTTCCGAAACGCTCTCAGAGCGTTCCGGAACGCTCTGAGAAGGCCGCGGCGCCAGAGACAGCCTCCTGAGCCGCCGGATCTCAGAGATTCATGATTCTTCCTCGCCGGATGTCATCTTCGCCCTGGCTTCGTCTTACACCCGCAGGCGAGCCTGGCCAGGCCGCTCTTGGGCCCCAGGATGCGCCTGGCTAAGGGTCGGAGTAGGTGTACAGTCGGACCGAGGGATGAGATCAAGGTCTGTTCTTCGTGACTGTTGGATGCTCTTGTGCACTCTGGGGGAGGGTGCCCTCGAGAGCCGCCGGATCTAGGAGATTCTCGATTCATCCTCGCCCGATGTTATCCTCGCCTGGATGCGTTTTAGTCTGGGGCGGGCCCCGCCTCCCGCGCCCCGCGCCCCGGCGGAGCGATTTGGACGGGGCTTGCCCGCTCGGAGGGGCGCCTCGGCCGCCTCTCCCGGGGGCGTGGCTCCCAGGGGTGGGGCTCGGAGTGTGTGTCGGGGGACCCCAAGCGGGGTGGTGACCACACCGTGTGGTGAGTCGGTGGGGATTCGGGGTCACCGCACGGTTTTGGGACTCGGGTCGTTCTCCGAGGACGTCTCGGGCGACCGGGGCATCCAAGGTCCCAAAACCGTGCGTTGACGGACCGTGCGGTGAGGTCTTGGGGAATTTCGAGGTCACCGCACGGTTTGTCACCGCACCGCCTCGGGACTCCAACATGTCCATGAGGCTTGCGCCATTCCGTCGACATCTGCCCAGACCCCCTTGGGTTTTGAAAAAACACGACGAGAGGTTTGTCACGATGTCCGGGCTCGGGGGGGCCCTCGCTAGGCCTTGGGACCGTCCAAAAGTGACTGCAGGATGATTAACGGGTCCCTGGGAATGGGTCGAGACCTCTGGGGGTCGACGTTGTCAAAAAGTCATGATGCCAGGAGGTCTGGGTGGACGAACCGAGCAGCCCATGGAAGTTGCTAGGGCGAGTTCAGGTCCAGAGTGTCGTGTATGACGACCTTTGTGGTTGCCAGGCACGGCCCGCTCGAAAGGGTCTCGGTTGCCTCCAAGGCGTGGCTCCCAGGGGTGCGGCTCCAGGGGCACATGCGGGGGCCTCCAGGCGGCGGTGCGGTGACCATGCCGTGTGGTGAGTCAGAGGAGATCCCGGGTGACGGCACGGTTTCTTGGACCCCATACCCCTGACGTCATGATTTTTTCATAACGTCGACCCCCAGAGGTCTCGACCCATTTCCAAAGACCCGTTTTTTCATCCTGAGCTTGGCAAGGGCCCTGAGGGCCCGAAAAACCTCCCTCCGTGATTATTTCTTAATTTCAGGGGGTCTGGGAATCGGGTCATTCTCTGATGACGTCCTGGGCGATTGGGGGCTTCAAAGCGCCCCAGAGCATGCGGTGGCGGATCGTGCGGTGTGCCCTCTTGTTGGGATCTCGAGGTCACCGCACGGCCCGCCACCGCACCGTCTCGGGACCCTCAACGCATGTCCGAGATGCTCCGGGAGGCCCAGGGGAGCCCAGGAAGCCGAGGGCGGCGCCAGGAGGCTCCAGGCAGCCCCAGGACTCAGAGGAGGAAAAGGTACCGATACTGCTACCCTTCCCTCGTTCCTCTATTCTTGGGCCTCCTGGGTGGCCCTCGTCGACACTGCTGGATTCGCCTCGAAATCCTGGTCAGAACGCACACTGGGAGAGGTCCGCGGAGTAGCGGTATCGGTACCTTTAGGTCTCCCACCATGGAGGCCCCGGGGAGGTTCCAGAATGCCCCGAGAGGCGCCACGAGGCGTCAGGAACACCGGTGATCCGAGGATGTCGAAAGAGGCACCTGCGAGGCCGAAGGAAGCCCCAGGATGCCCTCACTAATTTCTGATCTCATTCGAAGACAGACCTACTCGCACTCCCGGGGTTTTAATATGGGTACTTCTGAAGGTGAGTGGGTCTGGATATGAGTGAGAGTCTGCGGATTGTCCGGGCATGAGTACGAGCGAGTCTTTCTGAGTTTGCGTGTGATGGAGTCTGGGTCCGACTGTGAGCGAGGAGCGGTTGAAGGAAGACGCGGGGTGAGGGAGGCGGGGGCGTGATCACCTCCCCGACTCATGCCGGGACCCCCGCGGCCCCCAGCCAGAGTTTTGTTCTTCTTTCCGCAGGGGGGCCCTATTCGTGGCGATTGGTTAATCTTGGAACCCCTGGGGGCGCGTGGATTTCTTCCCGCACGCACCTTGCCATCGGAACCCATCTAGTCTTCTGACGAGAGCATGAATCGCACTAGAGTGCAACTGGTACTACATCACTAGCGTGCAGCTAATACTAGAGTGCGCCTGGTCCTTGAGTACACCAGGAGGGCATTTATCAGCTGCAAGTCGGCGATCCAGTCGTATCACAGAAGAGCAAGCTATTGCAGTGAAAGTGCCAGCACAGCTTTAGTACAACCACTTCTTTAGAGTTGCTGCATTATTGCAATCTTGGGCTCTCGCGCTTTTCCTCCTCTGGTTTCCGGGGGAGTGGGCTGAAACCCCATACGCGAGCACCCCCACGGCTGAGAGTTCATTCTTTTCCGAAATGTGAGGATGGGGTCACATCCGTGCTCGAATCCCTCGCCAGGGATGTCTTTCATTCTTCCGCGGAAATTTGACCGCCTGGGTTCTTCGGCGCGCCCCGGAAGTTCGTTCCTTCTGGATTGGCTCCCATTGGCCTTTCAGCTGAGTCGGCCGTGTAATGGGGCGTGACAATGATTCCGATAACCCCATGCTCAGGATATGGGCAACAAACATCGGGAACGGGCAGATGTTTTGAGTTGTGCGATTGTGTTGATGTGTCGTGCCCCGCAGGATCAGCGGTTGGGCAGGCGAGAGGTTCACGGGTCATCCCGAAGTGCCTTTGCATGCGACCTCGAAGGCGTGAGTTGTGATACCCTTGCAGGCGTTTGGATATGGTTGTCCAGGAATTCGCGCGTGCTCAAACGCGAATGCTTGGGTGTCAGGCGGCTGGGGATCGTGCGAGCTAAACCAGGGCGCTGATACCCTATGCGATTTCCCACCAGTGTGGAGGAAGGCCGTCCGAAAAGAGAGGGCCAAGTGTCAAGGGCCTCGCCTTCGCACAGTGGGGATAGGAATGAGAAGGGAGAAGCGATCCATGCAGCATGCCTGGGGACGTCATGAAGCACCTGCGTCAATGTCAAAACATCTTTGTCGACAAGGTTGGCGGCGTCGGCCGCGACACAAGCAACAACACGGACACAACGTCTGGTGGCAATGATTGCACACGGTATGGGCATGAGTTCCAGGGGCAGTAATAATTGCAGTGGCAGCGTTTGCAGCAACAGCGACAACAGTTGTGCCAGCAGTCTGCAGCAGGCAGGATATTGAGGAATGCAGCAGGGCAGGGCGTCAGGATGCCATCCGTTCGTCCTCTCTTGGCTTGTCCTGTCGGGACAGACGAAAGTGAAAGAGGGAAGACGCGTCAGACACATGAGGCGTTCCAGAAAGGGCCTCGCCTTCGAGGGCCGAAGGAGTTGTCATCTCTTCCGCGGCGGAAGGCGGCGGAAGGTCGGCGGAAGCTGACGGAAGTAAAACTGGGCCGCCTCCGCCGGCGGAAGCCAGCGGAAGACCAGTGGAAGCCAGTGGGAGAAAAAGATGCGTCCCCAAGAGATAGATACGTATTGGCTTCAGGGTGTCCAGAACCCGCCACATGGCGGGGCAGCAGTGGCGTGGCGCGGGTGTTTAAGTTCGTTCGGCTTCTCAGGCCAAGCGAAGTTTTCGAGAAGGCGCCCACATGTCACGACTGCCTTGCTGAGTTGGGCTGGGGCTGTCACCAATTTCTTGGGATTCAAAAGCGGTTTTGGAAGTTCAAACAACTAAAATCGTTTTTGACCTCCTAGAATAACCGTTTCTTCGACCACTGAGAACCAATTTCCTGATTCCAAGACACCGTACAGATACATAAACATGCGCATCATTCCCTCTCCCTCAGTCGGACGCGGTCTGCCCCAGACTTGAGTCTTTCAGTCTGGAGATGTTCTGCATGGCTTTCTCATGGCGGATTGCGTCAGCTGTGCACGCTTTCTGCGGTGACACACCTCAAAAGCTGGGCGAAGGCTGGCAAACCCGTGGCTGCCAAAACGGAGCTCCGGGAAATTGTTCTCTTTCTCTCTCTCTCTCTCTCTCTCCTTTCCGGGAAGCAGCCTGTTTTTTATACAGCGCGCTGAGATTTATTCCGGGAATTTGTTTGTTTCTTCCGGGAAGACCGTTTTACCACACGGATTTGCCAGCCCTCGCCCAGCTTCCGAAAACCCCATTATGGTTCTGCGTCCGACAGCCCTGGGCGGGATGCATGACCACGCCCGCCAGGCCAGCCGCACGCAGCCTGTGAGCCTGATGAGGGCGCGCCGCGCCGTCAGACGTTGATGGGGCTTCGTCCGGCTCGACTCGGCGAGCACTCCCTGCACACCTTGGAACGGGGCTAGGATTAAATCGGGCCTATTCCTCTACAGGAGGAACATTCAAAAATAGTAAAGCAACAGTCTGGGGACGGTTTTTTAGTTGGTCTCTTTTGTGTGTCTTTTTGGTGTATCTTTCATATTTTTTCTCCCAAATCTGCCTGTAGTGAAACATGCCCGACCTCAGTCTAGGACGAGGGTGAACGCTCTCAGAGCGTTCCCGAACGTTCTGAGGAAACCGCTCTGAGAAGGCCGCAGCGCCCGAGACATCTTCGAGAGCCGCCGGATCTCAGAGATTCTCGATTCATCCTCGCCGGATGTCATCCTCGCTCTGGCTTCGTCTTACACCCGCAGGCGAGCCTGGCCAGGCCGCTCCTGTGCCACGGATGCGCCTGGCTAGGGTCGGAGTAGGTGTACAGTCGGACCGAGGGATAAGATCGAGGTCGGTTCGGGGAGGGTGCCCTGCTGTTCTTCGAATATGTTGGATGCTCTTGTGCACTCTGGGGGAGGGTACCCTCGAATGCTCTTCATGTTGGCCGGCGGAGGTCTCGTGTTCTTGAAGGATGTGCTTTTGTCCTGGGCCCAGCTGTATCCCCGGCGCCCTCTCGACCCCTCGCCCGCCCCGGCCCCCTCGCTGCTCGGGCGAGGTCAGCGGCCACAGGGACAGGGTGGTCGCCGCGCAGCAGGGCCAGGCGCAGGAGACGTTGTGGGTGCGCGGCGCTCGGAGTCGTTTTTTTGTCGGTGGCGAGCCCGAGCGGAGGTCAGAGGCTTGGCATCGCTCGGGCGTTTCTTTTTGTTCGGCAAAGGCCTTCGACGAGCAGTTTGGGTCATCATGCGCACATGAGATACACGCGCGACACCGAAATGTGCACGGGGAATGGACGTCCGAGCGACGGCGAGAGAAGGGCCGGGCCTTCTCTGAAGGCGGCGGGGCTTTTGAGAAGCCGCTTTCGACGTTGGCGAAGGCTTACATTTCAGTCGGGCGTGTCCCTCTACAGGAGAAAGAGTCAAAAATAGTGAAGCAAATAGTCTGGGAACGATGATTAGATTTTTTTTGACTATTTTCTGAATGTTTGAATTTTTCGTCCAAAATCCGCCTGTAGTGGGACGCGCCCTAACTAAGCTTACACAACTTGTCAGCAGGGCCGGCCCGAAGATTTCCGAGCCTTCTGAGGAGGCCCGCCCCGGCTACATTCCGCCCTTGGCTCGCCGCCGGGCTTCTGCGAACCCCCGTGCCCTCCCAAGGCCACCAACGACTCCCTGCAGCCCCAGAGTTACGTCGGGCACGTCCCTCGACAGGAGGACAATTCAAACATAGTTTTGAAATACTATGGGGACGATGTGTTACGCAGTTGTGTTTATATGTTGTGGCATTGTTTAAATCCGCCTGTAGGGGGACATGCTCGACCTAACTCCAGAGACCTCTGTGTAAGCTCCTGCCCATCCAGAGTCTACCGCTTCTCAACGACAACAACGACAACGAGAACAGCGATAATAGCGACAACAACGATCACGACGATAACAACGATAACGATCGCGGGCATCCTTGTTACCGTTGTTACCGTTGTGGTCGTTGTTGTCGTTGTTGTTATCGTTGCTATCGTTGCTGTAGTTGTTGCGGCAATGATCGTTGTGACCGTTATTATCGTTATCGTTCTTATCGTTGTCCCTGTTATTGTCGAAGAAGAGGAAACACCATAAACATCAGCTGTTGGCGCTCCGCGCGGAGTTCTTGGATCCGCGCTGGGCCCCCCCAGCGGCGCCTCCGGCGCCGCCCCTGGCGCGCGGAACGCGCCAGGAAGGGGGGTCCAGCGCAGATCTTAGAAATCCGCGCGGAACGCCAAAAGTGTATGTGTATGGCGTTTTCCTGTTCTTCTATATTGCTGTCGCTGTTATCGTTGTTATCGTCACCGTTATCGCTACCGTTCCTCCATCACGGGAGGGATGCTCCAGGTCGTTTCGAGCCAGCTCGGGCGCTGGGCGTGCGGGAGGCCTCGCCGCAGGCGCGCAGAAGACCCCAACGCGAGGGATGCCGCCCGGGATCCAGACCTTTTTTTTGAGGTTCCCGAAGGCCTCCTCCGCAGGTGGTGGCTCGCCGCGACAGCAAGCCGCAGACGAACGACGCCGACAACAGCGTCATTGCCAATTGCACTGCGGGCCAAGGAATAAAAGCCTACTGACCTCTGCGGGGAGCGTGCGTCCAGCGGGCTCACCCCATGGCCAATGGTTCCCGAAGGCCTCCTGGGGCCCTGGGAAGAGTTCTAACCGCCTAGAAGCGGCAAGAAGAGACTGGAATCCTCGATCCTCGAGGGGCCTTCGGTCCCTGGGCCTTTTCCGGGGTCCATCCTCGTGAGCGCGCCGAGCCACGTCCAGCCGCGGTAACGAGAATCTTCAGACATTCCCCCCGAAGATTGGGGCGCAAAGGCGTCGGCGCAGACGGCAAAATTTTCGATGGGGGGGAAAGGAAGCGTGGCAATCGCAAGGGGGAGGGGGGGTGGGCCGAGGAGCGGGCTTGTCGGAGGCCCCTGGTGGCCGGTTTTAAAGGCCCGCAGACGCGCCCCCAGCGCGTCGATCCTCCATCGAAGTCGATCCGATCAATCATGCTCGCCCACGATCCTCGAGCGTCGTCGACCCAGCGGCCCTTCCCGCGCCGCTCGTCCCGCGGCAGCAGTTTGAAGCGCGTCTCCGCGCGCGAGCCAGGAGACGCCAAGCCTCTCGCACGAAACGCGCGACTGCGGGGGGGGGGGGGCCTAAAGCAAATGAGCCAGGCACGACTTCAACATGGGGAACCCGAAGAGACCGGGAAACCTGAGGGACATCCGGGAAACGGCAGCGCAAAAATACGAGGCACTAGGGGCGGGGGGCCCGAGGAACCCGAAGGGCCCCGAGCAACGGACAAAGCGACAATAGGAGGCGCCAGCCTTCAACCGAGCAAGAACCCCTTAGGCAAGCCTAACTGGAGGAAACAAATCCCCCACGCCACCGTCGATCCTCGAAGGCGCTCGGCCCTCGACCGCCATCGCCCACAGCCCGCGGCCGAGGTGGGCGCGCGAGCTAGGAGACGCCAAGCCTGTCGAACTGTCTGGGTCAGGCCCCCGCGCGAAGCATGCAATCCCTTGGAACGGGGGCCTAAAACAGAAGATTCTTCTCCCGGGCCACCATGTGATACTTTCTCATTCATTGTTTTGCCGATCGGCGCGTGTCCTCGCCGCCCCCTTCCCCCCATGGAGTAGATCCTGGCGGATTTTAGCGCCTGGTTCAGGCAGGTGGGGTCTCAACCCCCCCCTTCCGCCACATGTGGAAACGCCGAATAAGAAACGTTCACCATCGATCTTCGAACGCGGTCGGCCCGCGACCGCCGTTGCCCACAGCCCGCGGTAAGGGTGGGGCACACGGTTGGCGATGGAGGCTAGGGGGGAAGGCGCCCGAAGGCGCTTCCCTGAGGGCTCGGCTCGCTCGCTCGCTCCCTCTTGGGCCCGGGCAGCCCTGGCGCCGGGGGTTCGGGAAGTGCTGTCCCCGATGAGTGGGTTTGGCTCCCCCCCCATCGGCCCTCTGCCCCCCCCCCCATTCGGGCGCGCGCCGGCATGGAACGCTGATGAGTGGACCTGGCGCGCTGGCGGCGGGGCGCCCGCTTCCATGCGAGTTCGGCGCGCTCGCTCGCCGGGCCCGGGTGGCCCTGGCGCCGTGTTTCGGGGGGCGTCTTCCTCGATGCGTGGGCTTGGTCCCCGCGCGCCAGGTCCGTTCATACGTATTCCATGTCAGTGTGCGTTCGAGGTGGGGGGACGGGCGCGCGCGTCTTGTCGCAGCCAGAACAGCCCCTTGTAACCAGAAGGGGAACTTTCCAAACAGCGGAAGGGGCACTGTCCAACCATGCGCGGAAAATCCTTTTGATTTGGATTCCCATCTAGTTTCAAGTGTCCGTCGTCCCACATGAGCAACGCACTTCGCTGCCTGACGCGCGTTGGTTGTACAGTGCCTCGTCCTGGATGGAAGCCCTATTTGTAGTACTAATAGTGGTACTAGTAGTAATCGTCCTGATCGTGAGAAGGCCCGCCCCTTCTCGCTTTTCTCACCCCCCCCCCGGGGGTCGCCGCCGATTCTCGGGACAAAGGAAAAGAAGCAGGACGGGGGGAAGAGGCGGAGGGGTGCGGGCCGGGGCTCGCCGCAGGACTTCGGCGAGCAGGGCCAGGGCGCCGTGGAGAAGGCGCGTGGGGGGGGGCCTCCTTCCCCCTTCCCGTCCTGTCCTGCTCCCCCCCCCCCTCGTCCCTCCACTCCTCCGAGTTTGTCCTCGCCTCCATGCCCTTCTTCACTCTTCCGCCTCGTCCTTCTCCACCATTTTCCCTCCCTCCCTCCTCATCTCATCCTCCCTCCTTCTCTGTTCTCATCCTCCTCTTTCCTCTCTCTCTCTCTCTCTCTCTCTCTCCCTTCTCCTTCTTCCGTTTCCCCCATGTTCGTCTTTTTCTTCGGCCTTAAGTTCTTCTCCCTGCTGATACTCCTCCATTCAGATTGCTCCTCCACCCCCTCTTCCTTCCTCATCCCCTCCACGGTGGCGCCGGGGGATATTCCTCCTCCTCCTCCTCCTCCTCCTCCTCCTCCTCCTTCTCCTCCTTCGTAGCCATTGTGGCGCAAGCGGACGTTGTTGTATTGCTTGTGGTTTGCTTTGATATTCATGACGCCTGTTCGGTCACGCAGGCATGTCTGCCAGGATGGACGCTTGCGACCTGGTCTGTGCTGTAAGTGGCCAGCTGCTGTGTGGACTCGCCCGCAGAAACTGCGTGCATTTCGAAGGACTTGCTGCGGTTGCACACCATTCAAAACATCTTTCGCCAACTGTCCGTAATAATCTGGGCGATTCTCGCTTGCTGACGTCATTCAGGTTTTGTTGTGGAGTGTTCCTGGATTGCCCGGCAGGTGCTGGGAGCAAGCTTGTTTCCATTGAAACATATTTCCAAGTCCATATTACGAGGAGACCACATCTGAGGTGGTTTGGCTCGTTTCGCTTGAGATACCCTCGCAAATCTGGACGCCCAGATGTCGTGCGAGAGGTGGTCCTGCCCATCTCGCCTGAAACATCATGAACATTCTGGGTTCGGAGATGCCGTGACCTGAGGTTGCCCCGACCGTTTCGCTTGAGACATCCTCGCTTCTCTGGGCTTTGGGCTTGGAGATGCCGCACGTGATGTGATCCGGTCAGATTCGCTTGAGACACCCTCGCAATTTTGGGTACAAAGATGCCGCATGCGAGGTGGTCTGGTCAGCTTCGCATGAGACGTCCTCGCAAGTCTGAGCAATTGTTGAGGAGGGGTGCGGAGAGAAGGAGGAAGAGGAGGAGGAGGAGGAGGAGGAGGAGGAGGAAGAGGCGGAAGAAAGATAATGCTTGCATTACAGTCAAACAAGTATTTGTGGTGTCGAAACTTTCGGGACGCCCCTCGTCACCACGGCTGGACGCGGCTCGATCGTGCCTTGCGATACGGGCCAGTGCTCTGCCGACCAAGGGTGTTTCACAGGCCTGTTCGCGCCCAAAGTGCGGGGATATCTCGAACAGCCCGTTTGTTTCAGGAGGTGGGCGTGTGTGTTATCAAAGTTGCATGGTCCTCGCTGGCTACTTTTGTTTGATTTGAGGTTGTTCTGGACTCTTCCAGGGGGTTCCTTGGCTGGCGCGTGGGGTGCAGGGCACCTGAGCCCGAGCGCCTGGGTCGTCGGGGGCAGCCCCGGGCGACCCGCAACTCCAACGGCGGTGCCGGGGAGATGTTGGGGAGGGATTGCCTTGAAAAGAGTTCGGTGCGTCCCACGGCCCACACCGTCTCCGTCATGCCTTGACTTGAAATGCTCTGGCCTGTTTCGCTTGAGACATCATCGCACTTTGGGTTCAAGATGCGGTTGTTGAGGTGTTCATGCACGTGCCGCCTGAAACGTCCTCGGACCCCCTGGATTCGAGATCCCCTGACTTGAGGTGCTCTGACCTGTACCGCTTGAGACATCCTCGCACTTTGGGTGCCAAGATGCGGTTCGCGAGGTGCTCAGACCCATTTCGCTTGATACATCTTCGGAACCCCTGGCTCCGATATGCCCTGACTTGAGGTGTTCTGGCTCGTTTCGCCTGAGATGCCCTCACGACTTTGCGCTCCAAGATGCGGTTCACGAGGTGCTCAGGCCAGTTTGGATGAAGGCATCCTCGGAGCCCCTTCGAGATGCCCTGATTTGAGGTGCTCTGTCCCAGTCCGCCTGAGACATCCTCTCCGCTCTGAGATCCAAGATGCGGTTCTCGAGGTGCTCATTTCGCTTGAGACATCTTCGGAACCCCAGGCTCCAAGATGACCTGACTTGAGGCACTCTGGTCCGTTTCGCCTAAGACATCTTGGGGTCCTCGGAACTCTGGGTCCAATCGCCAGGGCCGCGCGACTCGGGGAATGCCTGCACCCTCCCGGGGAGGCTCTTGGCGTGGCCGCGGTCGATACAAATTTGTTTTCTGAGGATCAACGGCCTGTGCGGATGGACGGTGGCCTCCATTATGAGGATTCTCGGATATATGTTCGTGACCTGGGTGTTACGGTTGATGGTGATATTGAGGGAGGCTTTGCTGGGGTCCCCCCGGTACCGGGGACCTAGAGGCCAGTACCAGAACAAACCGAAACCCGCCATGTCACCCAAGTGAACACATCACGCACAAGAGCGTCTCCAAGTTCATCGCCGAAGTTTGTGTTAGCGAGTACGCAGTTGCTCCCAGTTTGTTTTGTGGCGCTGCTACGGCTGCTCCAGGGTATCGTCACCGTGCTAATGATGCACAGTTGAATCCAACTGTCTTGGAATTCGTCCGGCAAGCTCCCATCGAAAGTTATTGTACATATATTTCTGCGCCGTTTGTTTTGTATGAGGCCTCTGTGGTTACCCTTGATAGTTATGTGGCGAAGCACCCATCGGCAGCATGGTTGTCCATCCCCGATACTCTGGCGCCAGCACAGGCCCAGTACGATCTTCAATTACAAGCACACCAGCAACTGGTGGGGGCGCAGAACTCTTCCCTTGCGCTGCTGCGTGGCGCCTGGGAGGACCCTGCGGCCAAAGCTTCCGCCATGGCTGCCCCCACGTCTCTCTCCCCGTCTTCAGCACGCGATGGATGCGAGGGCGATGCGGACGATTGCAACGACGGCGCGAGCTCCGACACCTGCCGCTCCGAGGCCTTTGCACGCGCTGATTCCGACCCCCGTGAAGATTCAGGACTATGTCAAATACCTGCTTGGTGAAATTGTTTCTGTGGCTGTTCGAGACAGTATTGCCCCTGCTGTTGGCACGGCTGCCGTGTTGATGCTTGACGGCGTGAGCGCGAAAATGGCTGATCTCACCAATCCCTTGGTGCAGACGATGGCTGAGGTAAATGCCCATGCTGATGCGCCCGTGCACCGAGCGCGTCAACAAGCTCAAGCAGGGCAATGGTGCGGACGAGCTCTCCCGTCGCCCGGGTGACCTTGGATTGCAGCTTCATCGTTTTTTCATCATCACCATCATCACCGTCACCATCACCATCAGCATCACCATCATCATCATCATCATCATCATCATCATCATCATCATCAGCATCATCATTACCATCATTACCATCATTAACATTATCAAAATCATCACCAGCATCACTGCCACCATCCTCGTCATCACCGCAATTGCCACACGATGCACCATCAGCATCAGCATCATCATCATCATCATCATCATCATCATCATCATCATCATCGTCGTCACCATCGCCACCATCGTCACAATCTTCATCAGTACCCCCATCATCATTATCATCATCATCATCATCAGCATCAGCATCAGCATCAGCATCGTCATTATCAAGTATGTTGCCTCTTCTTCATATTCCTCCTCATCCCCGTGCCGCTCCCGATCTCCCGCTCCAGGGTCGACGCGGGAGGATTATCCTCCTCTTTATCCTCCTCCTCCGCCATGTCTCCCTCCAGCGGCCACTGCTGGCCATATGTTGCCGACGGAAGCAATCGGCATGCCGACCCTCATAAGGCCACCTCGGGTCAGAGGCCTTTATAAAGCTTGGAGGGGCATTTCGCTGGACCAATCGCCACAACATGGGTACGGATCTCGTGCCTCGGGCGCTTACTCGCCTCTTGCGGGTTACAGGGGCTCCTCGTCGTCCTCCTCCTTCCCGGGCCCTGCCCACGACGCCGCCCGCCCCTCCCACGCCCCCGTGAAGGCCACCGGCAGCTGGAAGGAGGCGAGCGTCGCCCGCATCGAGCAAGAGAAGGCTCGCTGGCGTTTGTCGCCGCCGTCCTTCTGCGCACTCGGGCCGCCTCGTTGCTCCTCCCTCATCTCTTGTTCTCCTCCTCCTTCTCTTCGGCGTCCCGACGGCTTCGGATCGGTATCCGTGTAGCCTGGGATCGCCTCCCCACCCTTCCCGTTTCTCCCCCCATGGCTCGAGATCCTGAGCGGATGCAATTTTGCTAAGGAACGAGGACCATCCATTTTTGGACGCCCCCTCCTACTCCTTGGGGTGGCAGAGGTGGGCCATTCCGAACCGAAGCGCCGAATTCGACGACGACGACGACGGCGACGACCACGACCACGACCACGACGACGACGGCGGCGGCGACCACGACGTGGACGACGACGACGACGGCGACCTTGGCGACGACACCCGACAACGATGACGACGACGACGACGACGACGACGACGACGACGACGACGACGACGGCGACGGCGACGACGACGACGACGACGACCACGACGACGACGACGACGACCGCGACCACGACCACGACCTCGACGACGACGACGACGACGACGATGACAGCGTCGGCGGCGAGGACGAGCGGCGACGGCGTCGTTGGCGGCCAGGACAAGAGGCGGCGCCAGCAACAGCCGACGGCGACCGATGACGGGACACTGCCCGCCCGCGAGGCGAATACCGTCTTGGCACGCGAGCGCCGGAGCGCGCTGGAGCAGCTCGACAAGCTCGACGAGGAGCTCTCGCGGGGCGGGCGGCGGGGCCACTGCGTTCCTCGCTCGTCCCCTGCGGTCCCTCCGCGCTCCTCGGGGAATCGAGATTCGAGGCTCGAGGGTTTTGCGGACGTCGTCGGCCTCTCCGAACCTCCGCGAGGCTTGTCGTCGTCACGCCTGGATCCATATTCACATTCTGGTTAGAATCGAGGGAGGAAAAGCCACCCCGACCGGACAATTGGCGTTTATTGAACGGCCTTCGGCGTTCACCAAACCGTTTTGCCTTGTTCGACTTCTTCCTTGGGCGCGCTTACGAAACGGCCTCGCTTGTCGGGGTGGTTATTATGGGGGTGGGTTTTCTGCCCTCTATCTTCTGGATAAATGAATTACGCAGTAGATCACAACACTAATGTTCAAAACACAATCTCCGAAACAAATACTCACCCACATCATATCCATAACTCGAACTTTGTAATCCAATGGACAGATGTTCGAGGGGATGTCGGGCTTGGCTGCGGCCCCAAGCCCGCCGTGAGTTACAAGGGTCCCGTGGGAAGCTATCTTGGGAGGTTTTCTTTTCGCCGTCCTCGGCGGCGCGCGCGTGCGCGTTCGCGTGCGTGCGCGGCTACCTTCTGGCTGGCACGCGGTCACGCGGGCGCGCGCGTGTGCTGTGGGTGCGCGCCTGGGTACGCGTGCGGGCGTGCGTGTGTGCTGTGGGCACGCGCGTGTGTTCTGTGGGCTAGCATGCGGGCGCGCGGGCGCGCGCGTGTGCTGTGGGTAACGTCTGAGCGTTCATTCTTCCTCTCGGCCGTCCCCCCCCTCTTTTTGCCCGCCGGCCAACTCGCTAGTCAGTACCCTTGTTTAGCTTTTCGCTGGAGCGGAGTTCGCCGCCTCGCCGCCGACGAAAAGTGTGTTGTGGGTGCGCGCCTGGGTGCGCGTGCGCGTTCGTGAGTGGAGGCCGAGGGAAGCACGGCGAACGACGGGGGCGCCCTCCTGGACGAGGCTGCACGGCGGGCGCGTTTTTTTTGAGGCGCCCCGAATAGCGTCGCTGGCTTGTGCGACGGGCCCCCCAAGGATCGGCTGTGGACAAACCTCCCTTTCGTAAACCTCCCCTCAGTGAAAACTGCCTGGGGCAGACACCGACGGAGCTGGACCCGCAAAAATGACGGCCGCGACGGCCTCTCGCGAACCGAAAACGACCAGTTCCTTAATCGACGTGTCAGGGTATGAGGCCTATCAACCTCGGCAAGGACAGGACACGCGCTGGGCACGGGCTCCTCTGCCGGAGCACCCCCCTTACCTGGGCCCCGAGGGGGGGCGAGCGCCGCCGCCCGCCTCTGCCCACGGCGCCAGCCCCAACGCCCCACCGAGGGGGAAGAGAAGCAGAAGGGAAAGGAAAGTAGCATTAAGTCAGGCATGTCCCCCTACAGGAGGAATTTCAAACATTTGTTCAAAACATAGTCGGGGGACGATTTTCCGACTATGGCTAACCATTTTTGGAGCACAGGGAGTTCAACAAAAATTAGGTCGGCATGCCCGGGCTCAGCCTCGCGGACCTACTCTAAAACCATGTTTTTTAAATTCCTTGTCTTGTTTCACGGCGTGTCGTCATCGCGCGAGTGATACTCGAAAGCCTCGTTTTTTAAATGGCCACGGTGATCTTCCCCCAGATATTCCTCCGAATTGTCCTCCAGATCTTCACCCAGATCTTCCCCCAGACGTTCCCCTTGATCTCCCCGCAGATCCTCACCTAGACCTTCTCCCCAGATCTTCCTCAGATCTTCCTCCAGATCTTCCTCCAGATCTTCCTCCGATCTTGCTCAGATCTTCTTCACAGGGCTCAAGCTAAACACTGTTTACTTGTTTTTTTTCTTGTTTGTTTCATATTATTTTTGTTTTTCGTTCTAAACGCGTTCGGGAACACGTTTTGCGCGGACTCTACACAGTAGGCGCGGGCCTGCCCGTTTGGGTAATGAGGCCTATGTTGTGTTTGGTGTTTTGTTCTCGCGCGGGCACGAGCCGTGCGTTTTGTTCGCGTTTTAGTTCCGGACAGCTGTCCGCAGTAGTGGTTTGTTCGTTCGTTCGTTTGCTCGCCGAACGAGGCTCTCCTCATTTGTGTCCTGCGGCCCAAATCCTGCACCCCTTTGTTGCCTGGCAGGCACTGTCTCCGGCGCGGGCCCGCAGGCGCGGTCTGAAAGCTCGTGGGGGAGATAGCGACGTCTCGCGGCGCCCCCCCGATAGCCGCGCCAGTTGGGCGTCTGCCGCGCCGTCAGATCCACCGCGTGGCGTTGTTGCGACCATTCTGCAGCGCGCTACCCCCACCGCGCGCACGTTGCTTTGTCCTGGCAGGTATCTGGTCATGTCTGGGGGCGCAATTCCAGCATGCGCCGTGCCTTGCCACGTCGCACATCGCGATGCCCTGCAGCGACAGTGCGCTCATTTGATGCGCCCGCGTCTTTGGCGGCGCCATTCCGCGTCGCACCGCGCATTGCTACTCTGCGCGACGCTGGGCCTAGAGGGGTTGTTGGAGAGGGGGCACTGCGAGCGCGCATCATGTCGCGTGAACTCGGCGCAGCCTCGCGGTGGCTACAGGTACATGGGCCCCGCGCCCACGTCGAGAGTTCGCCTTCGCTCTGACCCGAGCGCACTAGCTCGTTGTAGATCGCGCCCGCCCCGGCAATTCTTACCCCGCGGAGCCCGTCATAGTTCGCATCAGCGCGTTCTGGCTCGCCCGAAGTAGCACGGCTGCCCCGAGCATTTGTTTATCGCGGATGCTTGATTCGCCCGGATCCGCTTCGCTGCCGTTAAGCAGTTATTGCTCGTGGTAGCTCCGAGTATCTCGGCACCGTGGAGCCGTCTTAGCTCGTAGGCCCCCGGTGGCCGGTCCGCCTTCGCACTTTTTGCGCCGCCCGCCCCTCCCCCCCGCCCATCCCCCGCCCTCCCCTTTCTAAGCGCGGAGTTGCGCAGGGCATCGCGGAGCGGCCTTGACGACGACGCGGCGCGATGCTCCCCCCGGGCTACAGCGAAGCACGCGGTGGCAGCAAGGCCGGGCGACGAACGGCGCAGCCTGGCACGCCGCATCCTGGCATGGCGTTCCCGGGAGCGTGGCCGGATGTATGCCAGAGGACAGTAAGGTGCGGGCGCGGCGGGGCGCGGCGCGCGCTGGAGGATGGTCGCAACAGCGCCACGCGTCGGTTTCAACGGCACGGCAGGCGCTCAATTGGCGGGGCTATCGGGGGGCGCCAGGAGACGTCGCAGTCTTCCCCGCGCGCTTGCGGACCGCATCTCTGCGGTCGGTGGTTCAGGGCCCGCGCCGGAGACATCGCCTGCCACGCCACTGCGGGGAACGGGATGCGAGCCGCAAGGCTCGCGGCTAGATTCTAGATGGGGGGGGCTCGTTCGGCGTCACTCCAACATACTTATACTCTCTGTATGCGTCGCCCCCCCAGGGGCGACGCGCGCACCAAGAAATCTTATAGTATATGCGTCGTGGCGGGCCCTTTCTGGCCGCACCGCTCGTGAAACGATGTACTACAAGTTGGGTATACTATATGTTCCGGTCGGACGCGCGCCTGCAAGATAGTTTTAACTTAGCATGTTTCTGTGGGTCCCATCGTTTGGCGATTGGCAACAGCCGAGGTCGTTCCTGATAGGTGGCCGGAAGCAGCAGAAAGCAGCGGCGAGCACCAGAGGCCGGCAGGCACCAGCAGAGAGCGGCAGATGCCATCAGAGAGAAGCACAGACCAGCGGACACCAGCAGATGTGCAGAGACCATGAGACACCATCAGAGACCACCAAAGAGCAGCAGACATGCTGCAGTGTGGTTGGGCGCTTGCATCTATACATCTGGTCATCTGTTTCACCATGCCTCGAGCCGCACTTGCGACGTCGTGTGCACTGCACCGCGTTGTTTTGCTGCACGCTGGGGCTTGCTAGGGCGGGGCGGCATTCGAACATTTGCAAGGGGCAGCTTCGGGATGGGTGCTTCGGGGTGGCAAGGAAGAGAGGGCGTGCACCCCCGTGCCTCCAACCTCCTACTTGTTTTGAGTCGGGCGTGTCCCTCTACAGGTGGAATGTTCAAGAATAGTCCAAATATTGTATGGGTACGATGTTTTGAGTATGTTTTGATTATGTTCTGGTATTTTTCTATTTTTTGTTTCGTTCAAAATCCGCCTGTTGGGGGACATGCCCGTCCTACTTGCTGTGCTTGTTGCTGCCACTTCGCTTTGAACGCCAGGAAGCCCTCTTGGAAGTGGCTGGGCCCGGCGAAAAGTTCGGACGACTCGAGCGCCAGGTAGACGATGCAGGTGCGTCCAGTGATATCGCCACGTTGCACTGGAGAGCAAATGGAACATCAATGATCCGCGCGCAGAGGCAATGGGGGTGCCATCGCTTAGCATAGCAGCAGAGAGCAGCAGCGCAGCTTGTGCCCGCGTTGGTCCAAGTGCTCCTCCGGCTTCCACTCGCACGCCTTGCATCTGCAAACCGCGCCCACCTTCCATGGTTCGCAAAGCGGAAACGGCATGCGAGCGGCTTCCATGAGTGGCCCCGGCGACCTTTGGCCGTGGCGCCAGGAGCAGGGAAGACGCAGCTCCCCCCCATCGCCAAGCTCGCAGAAGAGGCCCGCGAGAGGGCAGCTCACCTGCTGGCGACGGACCAGAAGAGGGACCCGCCGACGGCAGGTCAGCGAGCGCAGACCCTCCGCGCAGAAGGTTTGCGGCGCCTGCGTTTCCTCGACGATGGCCGCCGCGGCGCCCAAGCCGACCGAGCAGAGGGCACGACGGGCGCCCGGCTGCCGCGGCGACCCGCTGCCAGGTGCCAGCGGCCTTGGCCTCGGCATCGCCTGGACGCGTGCACTCTCTCTCGGCGAGGGCCTTCGAGGAGCAGCCCCCGACCGTCGAGCAAACAAAGACACACAAGCACGAAGCCGAAACATGCACCGGGAGTGGACGTGCCAGCGACGGCGAGTTGCGCGGCGGAGACATGGAGATGCCGCGACCGCTGCGCGCTGTTCGGGACGCGGCCACTTCGGCGCAGTATGGACCGAGCTCGGGGGCTTCCGCTCGTCCTTTTGGGGCCGCGCGTGCCGCCCACCGAGGCGCTCCCTCTGCCTGTCCCTCTACAGAGGGAAAATTCCAAAACAGTCAAACAATCAAACAAAATAGTCAAACAACAATTAGTCCACCCTTAGCGACTCTTGCTGGCCAACCTTGTTCGGAAGACGCCAACGTGGCCCTCCAAGTCCCATTGCAGCCTTACCGCGCACCCCTATGACACGGGTCGACTGTACCGCGTCAGGGGCGACTTTGCGGACTGCGGCCCTGGGCTTCAACCGGTCCCATCCCCGCAAATCAACGCTTTCGCCAGCGACTTTGTCGCTGCCTCCGCTGTGGGCGATCCGCGAGCGCAGGCGAAGGAATTCGGGTCCGAGGAGACTGCCGATCTCAAGGTTGACCGCCGCGAGTTCGTTGCTCAGGTTGCGGCCTGAACCGCATCCAACGCGGCCTTCGCGGAGAAGACCAACATCGCATATTTGTCAATTTGTCATTTGGGCCCTTGGCCCGGACGCGCCCGTCGCCCCGCTGGTCACTGCGGATGCCTTCGCGGCGGTGCCGCTGGAGGAATCGTTTGGGCATGCGGTTGCGGAGTGCCCCGGAGACGCTGCTGTTGCTGGGGGGAGGGCCGACCGGGCGCCGACACTGCGGCCAGGGAAGTTCGAGGGATGGTGCGTTCGAGCCAGAAGCCAGGTACCTGGATTAGCCGATCGGCGCCATGGTCAAGGCACTGATGCAGCAGCTCGAGGAAATCGACCAGGCTGCGCAGCGATCGGTTACCGCAGAGATCGAATCCGCGCTGGGATCCCGCATCATCCCGTCTGGGCGACGCCCGTTGGTCAGTCGGCGACGCGGGCAGCGCCCGCATCCTGGAGGCGTGCCGGGAGGTCCGCAGATTTTGCGCACGCCTCGATCAGTCCATTAGTCGTAAGAGTGACCCTTCGCCGGACTGACCCTTGGTGCGGGCCCAATTGGGCCCCCCCGATCGTTGACTGCGATGCGATAGCAGCAGCTTGGTCGCCTGGTGGTGTCCCCAAAGGGCCCCCCTTGGCCGCGCGCTAAACGTCACTCTTGCCCAGGGTCACTCTTGCGTGTAGCCGCATCAGGCTGACAGGAAAGGCAAGCTTCAGCACTACCCCAACAGGCTCCCACTGGCCAGCAGGAGCGGCTGGCGCCGTCTGCCGCTGGGGCAGCCGCAGGCAGTTCGGACACACTGCCACATCTGTTGCAGCGTCGTGGGTCCGCGCCCCTGCAGTGGAGGCCCACGCCAAGAAGCACACGGTTTGCCTCCAGGGTGCCGTGGGTTTCTTGTTGGGTTTCGACGGTTCTGCTGTGGAAGGCGTGGTCGGGCCTCCACTGTAGTGGGATTGGCGCATCTGGACAATGGTGTGTCCCCTTCTTCAGCGATTCTAGGACGCCGCGAGCGCGCATCCTGGGCGGAAGACGCGACTGACGCTCAACGATTGGATGTGCTGCTTGCTTGTCAGCGCGAGCCCCGTTTGCAGACGGGTCGGCCGGGGCGGCCGGGCGAATATATGATAGCCGAACAGCAGCTCATAGAAGCTGGTAGAAGCGAATGGAAGGCAATAGCACGCACGACAAGGGCGCCATGATTAAGATCAGTGTCGCAGCGATGACACATGAACATCGCGTAGTATCCGAGAGCACATTTTTTGGGGGTCCACGCTGGCTAACATGTTTGGTCTCAGGAATTCGAGAACCAGCCACACATACCCAACGCCTCGGATCAAACACATCGTGGAACCAGGTGGAGGGTTTCTCCGAAGGGCTGAGGCGACCCGTCCTCCTCCTCCTCCTCCTCCTCCTCCTCCTCCTCCTACTCCTCCTCCCCCCCTCCTCCTCCTCCTTCTCCTCCTCCTCCTCCTCTTCCCTCCCTCCCTCCCTCCTCCTCCTCCTCCTCCTCCTCCTTCTCCTCCTCCATCTCCTCCTCCCCCTCCTCCACATCCTCCTCCTCCTCCTCGGGTCGCCCACGGTCCAAGGGGAAATCGTGCGGAACCAGGATCGGTGCAGACGCCTCCCTGGCCAAGCTGTGGGGGGCGCATGCACCGCTCCTGGTCACAGGATGGGCCTGGGCTTGGGCAGTGGGCATGTACATCACACCAGAGAAAACCCCAATCAGTGGATGGTTTGATCGATGAGGAGATCGGCCGGGAACCCGGGAACCCGGAACCCACCGAAATCGGCCCAGAACCCATAACCAGGAATCCAGGAACTCGGAACCGAGAACCTGGGAACCCAGCCGGCCACCAAAGTCTGCGGGAAATGTTCGCTAAATCTTTCAATGTCCGCCTAGATCCCTTCAGTGCAAGCACTGATTGGGGAATGTCTGACCGCCCTTACCACGGCGTCGCTGGAGGTCTGCGGCCAAGAGCAGATTAAAACAACAGCTTCAGCAGTCGAATCTCGAGGCCGCCCGCGCACCTCGGACGTCGAACCTCGAGCTTCAAGGCCAGACGTCGAACCTCGAACATCGAACCTCGAACCTCGCCTGGCCCCTTCGCGGCGCCGCCGCAGGGCATCGCCGCGCTCCAGGACCACATCCGCAGCGCGGAGCAGAAGGGCAGGCGCCACCGCGCCCTGTTCGGCGCCGCCGCCGCCGCCGTCGCCGACGCCGTTGCCGCATCCGTCGCCGGCGTCGCCTCCGCCGTCGCCGTCGCCGTCGTATCGCCGCTGCCGCCGCCACCGTCGCCGCTGTCGCCACAGCCGCCGTCGTCGTCGCCGTCGACGTCGTCGTCATTTCTGTCCTCCTCGTCGGGTTCGCCGCCATGCTCCCAGTACCCCCCCATTCTGTAGGACTGTGCTTGCTTGGTCTTCAAGGTCCTCAAATATAAGCGCTGACCCTTAGCCTCTGATTCGCCCGTGTTGGAACGCAAGACGGGCCATGTTCAACACGTCACTGATAACACGCTGCGTGTTGGCGTTAGCTCAGCGTGTTGGCTCACGCGTTGGCGAACGTATTTCGCCAAACGTACGTCTTCGGGATTCGCTTCGAGCTCCGTGCCAGCATGCTGCGGGTTGCGTGTTGCGTATCAGGGCAGGCAAGCGTTGACCGTGCGAGGAAGGGGCGGTTGGGAGCGGGGCCTCGGGGTGCGAGATTCGGCGATCCAGCTCTGCTCGGCATCCTCAGCTCGTCCTGGACCTCCAGAGACTTCTGAGGAGGAGGAGGAGGAGGAGGAGGAGGAGGAGGAGGAGGAGGAGGAGGAGGAGGAGGGGGGGGAGGAGGGGGGTATCCAGGAACCTCCAAGGATCTTCGGGAGTCGCCATGGAGAGTTCCAGAGACCCTCCGAAGGCCTGTGCGGGCCACTCCCTCCCCCGTCGCCGTTCGCCCTCCTCCCCCTCGTTGCTCATCTCTCGCCAAAGTCACCCCGCCAGAAGGGGAGGGAAATCGAGGACCCTCCTTCTTTCGATCGATGGTCCCCAAGATGGCCCCAGGAGGCGCTCCATAGCTCCCAAGAGGACCCCGAGAGAGCCCCAAGATGGCCCTATGAGGGCCCCAAAACACCCCAAAAGAGCCCAAGGGGGGGAAGACCTGACGAGTGCGCTGGGGAGGCGGGGGCGGGATGTCAAAAGGGCTCCCAGAGGTGCCAACGAAGGGGGGATCGAACGGACATTGCCAGACCTCCGCCCCAGGATGACCGCTGGGACCGCCAGCGAGCCCCCACGAGACCTCCCGAGCGGCCCCAAGAGGCTCGCCAAGGACGCCCCCGAGAGGCCCCCCAAGGACGCTTCCAAGAGGAATCCAGGAGGCCCCGAAGCGGTCCCAAGAGGCCCCAAGGATGCCCGCCAAAGGCCACCAGGACGCTCCCAAGAGGCCCCCAGGAGGCCCGAAAAAGGCCCCCCAAGAGGCGCCAGGAGCCGCGGGCCCGACAAAAAATGAAGGCTGCTCTGCCTAGGACCTAGGAGCCGCGCGATGGCCGGAAGGGACGGACGGCTGAGAGAGGAGAAGCAAGAGCGAGGAGAACGGGAGGAGGCACGGGTGGAGAGGCGACAGGGGGGCGAGGCTTGGGGGTCTCATTCATCCCTCACGTGAGACGCCGGTTCTCCCACTATATGTTGCATCGCTTCACAATTTGATCCGCAGCGGCCCCTGCCCAGTCAGTGGCAGGTCAGGTGAGGACTACATCCGCTTGTCTCGCCACCGGTTCACCCGCCCCTCAGCGTAGTGCTGTAGTAGAGGAGTGAGGACTTGTTCGCTTCGGCTACACTCGATGGGGGGCGAGGCAGGGGGGAGCGAGGGAGAAGTTCTTCTGCAAAGTTCCCGAGGGCGTCCAGAAGAATGTTGAGATCTCGCCTCGCCTGAGATGCTGCGGCTTGTGAAACACTCGATGTTCCGCCTCCCCCAGCCCAGCTGGGAGGATGGAGAGAAGGGTGCCCGAGCTCCTCGGGGGCACCTCCCGAGCGTTCCAGCGCACATGCTGGGCCGCTCACCCTGCAACAGCCTCGGAAGAGACCCCCAGTTCACCCCAAGACATATGAAGACCCATCGGCGCACCGCACAGGGATTGCTTGCCCACCCACGCAAACAACTTTCTGATCCTGGCGAGCGCCCCCGAGAGACTCCCAACAGGCTAATCAACCGAAGCATCAGCAGAAACACCTCGGAGGACATGTCACCCTAGGAGCTGCGTCTACCAAGCGACTTCTTCCACCAGCGCGAGGTTTACGCAACAACTTGTGGAAACTAACACAAGCCAACAGCAGCCCGATCCCCATAAGCACACCGGCAAGCGACAACGATGATGCAATGCGGGCGGGGGTCATGAGCGAAGCGCTTGAATTCGAAGTCCCTCCAGCGGGCCCTCGCCGTGTTAGACTTCGCGAACATTGTGTGACATGATGATGGTGTTGCTGCTGTTGGTGATATTGATGCTGTTGATGGTGATGATTTTGATGATGGTGATACGGATGACGCTGATGACGGTGACGATGATGTTGATGATGATGATGATGATGATGCTGATGATGATGATGATGATGCGGTTGATGGTGATGCCGGCTTTGAGTATGGTGATGTTGATGAGGATGTTGGTTATGGTAGTAATGATGACAATGATGATGAGGAGGTTGATGATTGTTGTGATGCGGATGATTGTTGTGTTAGTGATCGTGAGTGTGATGATGATTGTTGTAGTGTTGATGATGGCGGTGGTGGTGGTGGCTGTGGTGATGATGATGATGATGATGATGATGATGATGATGATGATGATGATGATGACGATGACGATGACGATGACGATGACGATGACGATGACGATGACGATGATGATGATGATGATGATGATGATGATGATGATGATGATGGTGATGGTGGTGGTGGTGGTGGTGATGAACCTGATGCTGATAATGCTGATGCTGACGATGATGAAATAGACCACGATGTGAGCGGTATGCGTAAAGCATGGTAAGCGGGGCTTTGCGCATTCCGATGGGCGACGACGTTTCGAAGACGCCTTCCCCACTTCCATTTTCAAGTCGACTCGCAACAACGAGTGATCCGCATTCAGACTCCCAGGGATGAACATACGAGTGCTGTGAGCCTCGCAGTTTTTCCCCGACCTGGCGGAGGGGTTCCCGTTGTGTGTCCCCCTGGGGGGGTCTGGGGGGGGACCCCCCGGGAGATGGCCCCGGCCACGGGCAGAACGCCGGCGAAAGACGGCAGGACACGGCCCCATTTCCGCAAACGCACTTCCGAGAGGCACGGACAGCCCCAAGATGGTCCACAAGATAGTTCAAGAAGGCCTCGAGTGGCGGAAAGATCAGCCCAAGACGCCCAATATGGCGTCCCGACGTCCCAAGAAGCCCAAAAGACGCCCCGAGAAGCCCCCAAGAGGCTTTTCAGGAGAGCCCGAAACATTCAGAATTATTATGTTTCCATAGGTTTTTGAATGTTTTCTGGGTTTTCGTATTTTCGGCTTCCCGCCGCTCCAAGACGGCCCAAGAGGCTCCAAAGAACGCCCCCAGACAGCCTCAGAGACCCCCAAGAGAGCGCTCAGACAGCTCAAGACGTCCTCAAGACGTCCTCAAGACGACCCAAGAGGCCTCCCAGACAGCCTCACGAGTGTTCCAGCCACGCCCCAAGGGAGCCCCCGGAGCGGAGGCAGGGGTCGATCTTTCGGGTTCTCCGCCCCAGTGACCCCTCCAGAAGCCTCCAGAGACGCTCAATATGGCGTCCCGACGTCCAGGAAACCGAAAAGACGCCTCGAGAGGCCCCCAAAAGGCTTTCCAGGAGAGCCCGAAACGGAACAAATCATTAGTTTTTCCGTAGGTGTTTGAAGGTTTTTTGGGGTTTCGCCTTTTCGGCTTCCCGCCGCTCCAAGACGGCCCGAGAGCAAAGAACGCCCCCAGGCAGCCTCAGAGACCCCCAAAAGAGCGCTCAGACGGCCCAAGACCCAAGACGTCCTCAAGACGACCCAAGAGGCTTCCAAATCAGCCTCACAAGCGCCCCAGGCACACTCCAAGAGAGCCGCTGGAGCAGAGGCAGGGGCCGATTTTCCGGGTTCTCTGCCCCAGTGACCCCTCCTGAGGCCCCCAGAGGTTCTTAAGAAGCCCCCCAAGAGGCCCCAATAACCCCTGCAGAGGCCCCAGGAGGCCCCAAGAACCCTCCAGAGGCTTCCAGCAAGCCTCCAGAAGCGCCCAAGATGGGCCGAGCACTGCCCCAAGAGAGCACCAAGACGGCTGGAGGCGCCTCGACAAACTTTCACAGTGTCAAACGGACAACACGGGGACCTGATGAGACCCCAAGTAACGCCCAAGGGGACCCCAGGAGGCCTCAAGACCTCACGACGCCTCCAGAAAGCCCCGACAAGCCCCCAAGAGAGCCCCAGGACTGCCCCAAGATCCCAGGACTGCCCGGGGACTCCCTCAGGAGGACCCCAGGACGGCTGAAGGACTTGAGGAGGCCCCAAGAGGCCCTTAAGCGTCACAACGACAAACGGACAGCCCCGGGACTTCCTGGCTCGTACGGATATTTCCTGAGCTCACCTTACGAGGTCTCCAGCAAGCCCCCCGAAGCGCCCAACAAGGCCTCAGGACAGGCCCAAGAGGGCCCCACGACTGTTGGAGGCGCCTCGACAAAGCGTCACGGCGTCAAACGGACAACACGGGAACCAATGTAATGCGCGTTACGCAGCACAGCGTCAGTCGGACCACACGGGAACCAATGTAATGCGCACCCTGGCCTTCCTCTTCTGGGCTCGCATGGAAACGTGCTGAGCTCACCCCGTGGCTCGCATGGTCGCGTTCTGAGCCCCCTTCCAAGACGCACCGCTGTTGTTCTGGCCGCCTTTCCCTGTGGACAGCTGTCGCAGAGAAACCCCAAGCGACTCTTCGTACTGCCAGAAAGCCCTACAAGAAGCCTCCAGGAGGCTTCAATACGGCCGCATGCGGCCCCCGACCGCCGCAAGTTGCCCAATCCAGTCCTCATACAGTCAGACACGTCCCCGACGCAACCTCCAACCAAACCCGACGGCCCCCAGGACCTAGGAGCCCCCAGATCCTCCAAACTCAATTGTCTCGCCTCTCATACGCAACCGCGCCCCCTCCCTTCCCTGTGGATCGCATGGAAACGTGCTGAGCTCACCTCGTGACTCGCACGGTCGCGAGCTGAGTTCACCCCTTCCTTTCCATGTGGCTCGCATGGACACGTACTGAGCTCTCCTCGTAATTCGCCGAGTCGCGTGCTGAGCCCACTTCCAGACGCATCGTCGTTTTCTCGGCCACCTTTTCTTCAGAAGCGTTCCCGACACAACCTCCGACGACCCGAGGTTTCGGGCTCTCCGTCCCAGTAACCCCTCCAGAGGCCCCCAGAAGCTCCCAAGAAGTTCCCAAGAGGCCCCGATAACCCCTGCAGAGGCCCCAGGAGGACCCCAAGAACATTCCAGAGGCCTCCAGCAAACCCCCAGAAACGCCCAAGATGAGCCGAGCACTGCCCCAAGATAACCCCAGGACGGCTGGCGGTTCCTCGACAAAGCCTCACAGCCTCAAGCGGACAACACGGGAACCTGATGAGACCCCAAGTGACGCCCAAGAGGACCCCAAGATGCCTCAAGACCTCGAGACGCCTTCAGGAAGCCCCCAGAAGCTCCCAAGAGGGCCCCAGGACTGCCCCAAGACCCAAGAAACCCCCAAGAAGACACCAAGATGCCTCAAGACCTCAAGACGCCTCCAGGAAGCCCCCAGAAGCTCCCAAGAGGGCCCCAGGACTGCCCCAAGACCCCAAGACTGCTGGAAGCGCCTCGACAAAGCGTCAGAGCGACAAACGGACAGCCCCGGGACTCCCTCAGGAGGGCGCCAGGACGGCTGAAGGACCTGAGGAGGCCCCAAGAGGCCCCCAAGACGACCCCGACAAGCTCAAGACCTCACCACGCCTCCAGGAAGCCCCCAGAAGCGCCCAAGAGGGCCCCAGGACTGCCCCACGACACCAGGACTGCTGGAAATGCCTCGACAAAGCCTCACAGCGACAAACGGACAGACCCGAGACTTCCTAGCTCGCATGGCAATTTCCTGAACTCACCTTAGGAGGTCTCCAGCAAGCCCCCAGAAGCGCCCAACAGGGCCTCAGGACAGCCCTAAGAGGGCCCCTCGACGGCTGGAGGCGCCTCGACAAAGCGGCACAGCGTCAAACGGACATCACGGGAACCAGCAGAATGCGACCTATAGGCATCCTTTTGTTCGTTTTTCTCTGTCTCGTAATTCACGCCCACTTGTCCTCCAAGGTTGGGGTTCGTGACAATATCAGGTTGGAAGGCTTGCACAGGTTAGCGCAGTGCTTTTTGCATTATGATGAGAACTCTAATTTCGCACATCCCTCACACACTTCGTGCATGTTGGGCGTTCAGCTGGTCCCCAAGACGACTCCTTGGAATTTCAAGTCGGCAAGTCGGCACATTCCTCAGGCGCGTCGTGCCTAACGGACAACTAAATGCCTCTAGCTGCTCCCCAAACCGCCTAATCCGCCAACTGGCGCAAATACGCTTCAAAGAAACATTGCAACGATTTGTACCGACCCTCGTCGAGGCATTGCCCATGTCACCCACTAATTGCATCTTCTGCGTGCAAGCTTCCCCCTGGTGGACCGTCGTGACTCCGGCTCTGCGGGCTCAATATGGAGCGTGTGTGTGCGTGTGTGTGTGTAAGTGTGTGTAAGTGTGTGTGTGTGTTTGTGTGTGCGTGTGCGTGTGTGTGTGCTTCAGGGGGGGACAGAGGGAAACAAAGGAGCCAGAAAGAGAGAGAGAGAGAGAGACGGCGAGAGAGGGAGATACAGATGGAGAGAAAGTAGCGCAGCGATGACAGAAGAACGACCGAGACAGTGAAGGATGTAGTGAGACATCACAGGAAGAGGGTAGAGAGAGGGTTCGGCAAAGAGCGGAGTGGGGGGTTGTTGGGAGACCCGCTTCTACGTTCACTCCCTGCGTCCTGCCACCTCCCACTAGGAATGTGTACTTATAACGGCCTCCCTGCACAGCTCACCCGATTTAAAATCTTCTGCGTTGAGTTCGTTGGAGTACGGAGAACATCCTTTTTTGTACAGTTGCTTCGAGACGTAGTTAGCGTTCGTGTGGGCAGGGTTCCTGCGATTGCTCGAGTGCGTGTGTTGATTCGCCTGTTGCGTGTGCGTGTGTGTATGTGTGCGTTTGTGCTGATGCTTCTGTGCACGCGTGCGTGATCAGATTTGTCAGTGCGTGCTTATTGCGCGCGCGCTCGTGCGCGGCCACCGACGCCATCACGCACCCGCAAATCGTGAAGCAGAGTTGTATCGCGATCTATTTGCCAGCTACTGCCTAGGGCCACTAAGGGGTGGCGGGTATCCTTCCCATCGGCTCTGGCTTGACAGGAGCTTCCGATCGGAGGAGTCCACCTTTGTGGTTGCCTTCGAAGGGCTGGTTTGGGCCGAAGGGATCGCGCAAATTCTGCACGGCGCATCCAATCACGATGTTTTGCCGAAGTTGTCCTGGCGCATCGCCACTTCTCTCGTTGGTCGTTTGATGCGTGTCTTTGCTTTTCTGGGCGCGGAGCAGTTGCACTCGCATTGCTGCGGTCAGGCACCACGCCGCAGAATCTGTGCGTCGCCAGCAACATTTAGACGCGTTGTTGATGGAGGAAAGCGCTTGCCGCGGCTCCACATCATCATTACCTTGTCATGAAGCTTGCTTTGTAGCCATAACTCCTGAACTCTGTCGCTTGACCTTGCCCGCCCATTTTAGACATGAGGGTACGCTGTGGGAATTGATACGGGTAGGCGTTCGTAACTCAATCGTATGGTAGCGGGTCGCAAGCAGCGTTTCTGTTCCAGTCCCGTGCTTGATACGTACAAGATTGCGTTTCTCTTGCTGCCACGGTTATGTTGCTCCCCCTTCCCGTGTCTCCACCTCCCTCGCTTGTCTTGGCGTGCTTGGTCATTGCTTGTCATTCCCTTTTTGTCTCGAATCCACCCGGACATTCTTCGATCTCCTCCCATGTGTCCGTTCCCCGCTGCTCTCACTGCCCTTCTCCATTCTCTGCCATCTTCTCACGTTGCCCTGTCCCGCATTCCATGATCTTGAACCCTGCCGCTCGCGGCACGTCTCCTCCTCGTTCCGTATCCATCCCTTGATGGGCCTGTTTTCCACCACCACCACCATAAGTTGGAGGGGGAAGGAGGAGGAGGAGGAGGACGACGAGGAGGAGGACGACGAAGAGGAGAAGGAGGATGAGGAGGTGGAGGCGGAGGAGGAGGAGGACCCCCTCCCCCTCCAACTTAATTATGGTTGTGGTGGTGGAAAACAGGCCCTATCATCCCTTTCCTGTCGTGGTAATGCGTATATTTTGATGCGTTTCTGCGTCCTTAGAAGTTTCACGTTTAACCTTGGTTTCCCCAGCGTTCCGCACCAAAATGCCCGCTCGATTCTGTCTGGTTTTCCTGGGAACGTTTGCTTTTTGTCGGCGCCCTTGTGAATGGCAGTCAGGGGGTCCGCGTTAAGTCGGGCGTGTCCCGCTACAAGAGGAATCTTCAAAAATAGGAAAAATAGTCAGGGGACGATTTTTTGATTATGTGACTATTTTTGGATATTGTAATGGCCTCCCGCCAGTGCCGCCGATCCGGGGGGCTCCGGATTCGGTGATCTTTGCGGCTCTGTGGCCTCCTCCCTCCTCGATTATTCCGGTCCTCTCTCTTCTCCTCTGGGGGGGTGCCTGGAGCAGTCCCGGGAGGGGTCCGGAGAGGGTTCCCAGGGGAGGGTCCTCCGGGCGGTAGCGGCTAGATGTGAGGGGGGACCCCCCGAAACATTTTGGGTATGCGCAAACCACCAATAAGAAAACGCCAGATCGCCAGATGGGGGACGTCCCCCCCCCGCCTTCCCCGGGAGGGGGTCCGGATGCGCAAATCATAATGAAAACGCCAGATGGGGGACCACCCCCCCTCCCCCCTTTCCCTGGCAGAGCCGCCCCGGCGACCCCCCCCAAGCAGAGCTGAAGATCTTGCTTAGGCTCAGAGCTGAAGCTCTTGCTGACTCTCCTTGTAGTTCACCCGCCGGATCGGCGGATTTTTGGGTATGCCCAAGGGGACATGCCCGACCTAAGTCTGGCTCCTGGGAACGATTGCTTTGTTGGCGCCCTGGTGAATGGCATTCAGGGGGCCAGCGACATCCTGTTTCAAGCAATCCGTCATGGCACGAATCCCCAGCACCAGAAACTCTCTCGGGGGCAGCACGCACAGAAGCATACATTGTGTTGCTCTTCTCATCGGACTCTGGACCCCTCGAGTCGTTCACAGAGTCTGGCCTTCTCTCCTTGTGGTTCTGAGTACGGTGAGAGCTGCGACACAGCCTTGGATCGGGCCGCGCGAAAGGGTAGGATAGGGAAGGGGGCGTCACGAAATCTGCTGCGTATAGATGGCTGGTTCCCGCCCCGCCGCCGGGCCCCTTCCTCAACACATGGGCGCCTCCCAGCGCCAGGAGGCCCTAGGAAAACCAGCTGCGTGAGCTGATTATCTGTCCTACCCTTGAAGAAGAAAAAACCATATAAACATCAACTTTTGGCGCTTCGCGCGGATTTCTTGTATCTGCCCACGGGCGGCGCCGGAGGCGCCGCTGGTGGGACCCAGTGCGGATCCGAGAAATTCACGCGGAGCGTGAAACAGTTTCTGTTTTTGGTGTTCGTCCCCACCGACGGGTTCGATCGCTCCGACGCGGGTCTGCGCACGGGGCCGAGGCGTCCCTGAAGGCCCTCAGCTCGAGGTCTCCAGAGGCTCCCGGGGGTCCAGCGGGGGCCGAGCCTGCAGACGTAGAAGGTCACCCTCGAGATGTGGAGGCGAAGCAGAAAGAGAAAGAGAAATAATAACAAAACAAAGAAGAGGAGGAGGAGGAGGAGGAGGAGGAGGAGGAGGAGAAGGGCGAGGAGGAGGATCGGGGAGACGTAAGGCTCGAGTACGCCTGGATCTGGGTGTGCCAACGCTTTTTGACGGGCGCGTCCTGGATTTTGACGGTGCGATTTTCCGTGTGATGTTTGCGGCGGAAGTTCTCGTCGAATTTCAGATTGGGTCGCATGGTTCTCATAATGGTCCCGCCAGGCCAACCCGAGTCCGCCGAACTCGAGTCTTACGTCTCCCCGATAGGAGGATCGGCGGCGAGCCAGGGTAGGAAATGAGAAAGATAAGGCCTTCTCAGAAGGCGACGGGGCTTCTCAGAGGCCCTCGCGCCTTCTGAGAAGTTTTCTGTGTCTTCGGGGAAGGCTTAGAACACTTCTCAGAAGGCCAGGGAACTTCCGAGCTTTCTGAGAAGGCCTTCTCCTTCTCACTTCCTACCCGGGCTCGCCGCCGAGACGAGGACGAGGCGCAGGAGGAGGCCGACCCAGAGATCCTTCGCTCCCGCAGAATTAAGAGCGACGGGTCTTTGGCCGTTTTTGGGCCTCGGGGGGCCCTCTCGCCGGGCCTCGGGACCGTCGGCAAAACGGCCCAGGACGAGAAGCTGGCCCACTAGGGCAGTGGCCCCGACCTCTGGGGCCCACGATGGGAGCGGCTGGATGTCGGGGGAGGAGAACGCGGACGAGGAGGACGGTCGGACGGGGCTAGGCCGAGGATACATCCGTTTCAAAGCGTTCGGCGCCCGAGACATCTTCCAGAGCCGCTGGATGTCAGAGATTCCCAAATTATTTCACCCGCTTTTATCCTCGTCCTGGCTTCGTCTGAGGAGAAATGTTGGGCGTCGCGTAATGGCGGGGCGATAGATGGGGGGCAGCGAGGGCTGCAAAAAGGGGCCCTTGAGGGCCCCTCAGGGAGCCCTTTAGAAACCAAAGGGGGGCCCCTCGGGCCCGAAGGGTGCACCCTTCTTTCCCCCCCCATTCATCGCCACCCCATGAAGCAACGCCCAAGAACGCATCAACAAAAATTGGAGAGCCCACGGGGCTAGGACGAGGATAAATCTGGTCCATAGCGTTCCGGGACGCTCTGAGAAGGCCGCGGCGCGCGGGAAATCATCCAAAGCCGCCAGATCTCAGAGATGTTATCCTCGTCCGATGTTATCCTCATCCTGGCTTGTCTTAGGAGAAAACGTGGACAGGGAAGACGGGGGGGACAATGAGGCCAAGAACTCCGAGGCCTCGACCTGGGCCTGCCCTCAAGGCTTCGAGGCATCCGGAAGCAGGAGGTCTCGGGGAGGCCTCCGGGGAGTTCTCTCGAGGCATAGGGGCAACCAGAAGGAAACGGAGCAGGCGGAACACGTCTGCCCGTCGTCCTTTCACCTTCTACCGCACCGCCGGTGTCCCCTGGAGTGGTGCTCCAGGGGTCACCTGGCCCTAGTTTGATCAGCCCCCTCAGGGCCGACCGGCCCTGGGGGGGAGGCTTCGTCTGAACGACCATGCAGCCACCAGGAACCAGGAACCAGGAGGAGCACGAGGAGGAGAACGTAGAGGGCGAGGAGGACGAGAGGGGGGGGGCAGGAGGACGAGAAGGGGAGGACGAGGACGAGGAGGGCTGGGGAGGACGAAGGGAGGGTGGCGGAGGGCGAGGAGGACGGAGGAGGCCGAGGAGGAGGACGACAACGGGGGCGAGGAGGAGGACGGCGACAGCTCCCAGACCACGGAGACCGCCTCCGGCAGGAGCGCATGGTCGCCTCGATCGCCCAGCTCGGCGTCGAGCGCGCGCAGGAGCAGCGGCGCAGCGGCGCGGCGGAGGCGGCCTCGGCGGGCCTCGGCGGCCCCCCGGCGGCACGGCGGGGGCGGCGACGGACCACTCGTGGGTCTCCTGGGTGGAGCGTTCCCAAAAGGGCCTCGCCTTAGGATGTTCCAATCCACTTCAGCCTTGTTCGCCAGACAGAATCTCGAGCACCAGAAAGTACCGAAACTCGACGGTTTTCTTGTGTCGGGCCCTGGGAGACACTGTTCCGACACTCTTTCGACACTTTTCTGGGTGCCCGAAATTATTTATGGGATGTGACCTTTAAGTACGGTGGGAGATATATCAGCTTCGCCTTCGAGGATCGAAGGAGTTGCCATCTCTTTCGCGGCGGAAGGGCGGCGGAAGGACGGCGGAGGTTAAACGAGGCCGCCTCCGCCGGCGGAAGCCCGGCGGAAGGACGGCGGGAGGCGGCGGAAGGAAGAGATTGCGCCCCCAAGAGATGAACACGTTTCTGGGCTCAGGGTTTTCGGAGTCCGCCCGATCGGGTCGGAGTAGATGGGGTCGGAGGATCGCGCCGCATTGCCGATGCATCGGCGATGCGGCTCGATGTGGAGCCCGATTTGCCTCACGTTGACGTCGCCGATGCACCTTCGACGTCGACGTTGCATCGCCACTGCATCGCCGATGCATCGCCGATGCATCGTCGATGTATCGGCGATGCGGCGCGATCCTCCGACACCATGAACTCCGACCCCATCTAGGAGGCCTCTACCCCTGGAGACCTCCAAAGGCATAGGAGAGGTGGCGGGGTGTGGGGTGCCGCGCGCGTTGTGGCCCCAGACTGGGGGTGCGGGCAAGAACTGGTATCCATATCCGGTGCGTCTTGGCTTTTCTTGGAAGGGGCACCACCAGGCCGAGGCGCACTGGATATGGATAAACATCGAGCCTCTAGGGTTAAGTCGGGTGTGCCTCTCTACAGGAGGAATATGCAAACATTGTCCAAAACTAGTTCCCCGACCTTGAGGATGGGGTTCCCGTTTAGTGTTCCCCTGGGGGGTCTGGGGGGGGACCCCCTGGGACATGACCCCGGCCACGCCCGGAACGCCGGCAGAACCCCGGCGGAAGACGGTGGAAGACGGCCCCATCTCGGCGGACGCGCTTTCGGTCGGGACTAGCGACCCCAAGATGGTCCGCAAGATGGGCCAAGAGGGCCACGAGCCGCCGACTGATCGATCCAGACGTCCCAGAGGGTCACCAAAACAGCCCGGGATGCCTCCAAGAGGCTCCCGAGGAGAGCCCCGAGCGTCAAATTCTTGGGCTCCCCTTGGGTTTTTCAAGGTTGTTCGCCTTCTCGCCTGTTCGACTTCCCAACGCGCCCAGACGGCCCGAGAGGCCCCCCAAATCCCCCCAAGACGGCCTAAGAGGCCCCCAAGAGAGCGCCCAGACGGTCCAAGACGCCCTCAAGACGGCCCAAGAGGCCTCCAAGACGGCTTCAGACGGCTCCAGGAACGCTGCAAGAGGACCCCCAGAGCAAGGCCAGGGACCCATATTTCAGGCTTCCCGCCCAAACAGACCCCTAGGAGACCCCAAAAGGCCCCCAGGCATCCCCAAGAGGCTCCCAAGAGGCCCCGGGGAGTCTCCAAGATGCCTCCCGGAAGGCCCCAGAGGCTCCCAACACGGCCCCAAGACTCCCGACGAGTGTTTCACGATGGCTTGTGACGCCCCCACAAAGTGTCACAGTCCCAACCGGACAACACGGGAACCAACGAGATACGCTGGGAGCCAACATAATGCGCTCTATCCGCCAAAGCGGCACAGCCCCAAACGGACAACACGGGAACCACCGCATGCGCTGGGAACCGACGTCATTCGCTCTACAGGCAACCTCTTCTTCGGTGTTCTCTTGCAGGCAAGTCACGCCCACTTGTCCTCCCAGAGGTCCTTCAAGAGAGCCCCAAGAATCCAAACTCATTTATTTCCTACAGATCTTCACAGCTCGGGCCCCAGGAACGCCCAAAGAGGGCCCCATAGAGGGTGCAGGGGCCGACGTTTCGGATACTCCGCCCAAAGACGACACAAGGAGCTCGGAAGAGCCCCCGTGCAAGCTTCAGAGGCCACCACGTGGGCCCCAGAGGCGCCCCAAGCGCGCCCCTAAATGATCTGGCGTTCCCAGTGGCTCGCATGGTGGCGTGCTGAGTCCTCCTCACTACTCTCCCACGCGCACGGCCCCAGAAAAGCCGCTGGCTCGCAGGCCACCCACTTTGCTGGTGGCTCGCATGGTGGCGTGCTGAACTCACTTGCTACCTTCACGCGCACAGGCCCACCTAAGCCGGTCGACCGCAAGGCACTTGCTCTGCCGGTGGTTCGCCTGTTGATGTGCTGAGCTCACCTTACACCTTTACGCGCGGCCCCAAACTTGGCCAGTGGCACTCAAGGCAACAACCTTGCCGGTGGTTCGCATGGTAGCGTGCTGAGTCCTCCTCGCTTCTCTCTCACGCGCACGGTCCCAACGATGCCGGTGGCTCGCAGGCCACCCACTTTGCCAGTGGCTCGCATGGTGGCGTGCTGAGCTCACGTGCTACCTTCACGCGCACAAGCCCACCTAAGCTGGACAACCGCAAGGCACTTGCCTTGCCCGTGGCTGGCCTCGCGATGTGCTGAGCTCACCTCAGGCCTTCACACGCGCGGCCCCAACTTGGCCAGTGGCACTCAAGGCGTTAACCTTGCCAGTGGCTTGCAAGGTGTCGTGCTGAGCTCACCTGACGCCTTCACACGAGCACCCGCAACTTAACTGGTTGCTCGCATGGTAGCGTCCTGAGCTCACCTGACGGGGAGGAAGGACAGGGACCCATATTTCGGGCTCGCTGAGTCCTCTTCACTACTCTCTCACGCGCACGGCCCCAATTAAGCCGGTGGCTCGCAGGCCACCATTTTGCCCGTGGCTCGCACGGTGGCGTGCTGAGCTCACTTGATACCTTCACGCGCACAAGCCCACCTAAGCTGGCCGACCAGAAGGCACTTGCTTTGCCCGTGGGTTTCGTCGTGATGTGCTGAGTTCACCTCAGGCCTTCACACGCGCGGCCCCAACTTGGCCATTGGCACTGAAGGCATTAATCTTTCCAGTGGCTCGCATGGTGGCGTGCTGAGCTCATCTGACGCCTTAATACGAACAGCCGCATCTTAGTTGGTGGCTCGCATGGTAGCGTCCTGAGCTCACCTGGCGGGGAGGATGGGCAGGGACCCATATTTCAGGGCTCCCGCCCAAACAGACCCCTAGGAGACCCCAAAAGGCCCCCAGGGATCCCCAAGAGGCTTCCAAGAGGCCCCGGGGAGTCTCCAAGATGCTTCCCGGAAGGCCCCAGAGGCCCCCAAGAGGGCCCCAGGACTCCCGACACGCGTCTCACGATGGCCGGTGACGCCCCCACAAAGCGTCACAGTTCCAAACGGACAACACGGGAACCAACGTCATGCGCTGGGAACCAATCTCATGCGCTCTATCCGACAAAGCGTCACAGCCCCAAACGGACAACACGGGAACCCACGTCATGCGTTGGGAACCAACGTCATGCGCTCCATGGGCATCTTCTTCTTCCCTTTTCTCTCGCAGGCAAGTCACGCCCACTTGTCCTCCCCGAGGCCCCCCAAGAGAGCCCCAAGAATCCAAACTTATTTAGTTCCTATAGTTCTTCACAGTTCAGGCCCCAGGAACGCCCCAAGAGGGCCCCCAGAGAGGGTGCAGGGGCCGACGTTTCGGATAATCCGCCCAAAGACGCCCCAAGGAGCTCGGAAGAGCCCCCGTTCAAGCTTCCAGAGGCCACCAAGTTCGCCCCTCAGGCGCTCCAAGCGCGCCCCTGAATGGTCCGGCGTTGCCAGTGGCTCGCATGGTGGCGTGCTGAGTCCTCCTCACTACTCTCCCACGCGCACGGCCCCAACGAAGCCGCTGGCTCTCAAGGCGCCAACCTTGCGGGTGGCTCGCACGGTGGCGTGCTGAGTCCTCCCCGCTATTCTCTCACGCGCACGGCCCCAACGAAACCCGTGGCTCGCAGGCCACCCTCTTTCCATGTGGCTCGCATGGTGGCGTGCTGAGCTCACTTGCTACCTTCACGCGCACAGGCCCGCCTAAACTGGTCGACCGCAATGCACTTGCCTTGCCCGTGGCTGGCCTCATGATGTGCTGAGCTCACCTCAGGCCTTCACACGCGCGGCCCCAACTTGGCCAGTGGCTCTCAAGGCACCAACCTTGCCGGTGGCTCGCATGCTGGCGTGCTTACCTCACCTGACGCCTTCACACAAACAGCCACAACTTAGCTGGTGGCTAACATGGTAGCGTGCTCACCTCACCTGACGGGGAGGAAGGGCAGGTACCAATATTTCGGGCTTGAGTCCTTCCCGCTACTCTCTCACGCGCATGGACCCAACTAAGCTGGTGGCTCGCAGGCGACCCACTTTTCCGGTGGCTCGCATGGTGGCGTGCTGAGCTCACTTGCTACCATCACGCGCACAGGCCCACCTAAGCCCACCTTCGCCGCCCAAGGCAGACGCAGAAAACTACACACCTTGATACTTTCAGACCTCACTTCGTGCAAGTTCGGGTCGGGCTGATGAGCATGCCGGTGAAACTCGCCACCGCGTTTTTGGCAGTCTCAGGGGCAAACGGGAAGGACCTTGAATCCTGCCTGATGCAGATGGGTGCAAGCCCGAGTCGGGCTACAACCGTCGAGCGGCCACTCGTGGGTACTTATGTTCAGTTTTGCTAGTCAACGAATTTTGGTACCCAGCAGGTTTAGGTCAACACGCGCTACACCGACGGCTCGTACAGCTCTCGGTTTTCTAACCTGCAATTCAGCGTTCCTTGCGATGCTCAAGTTGCAACGCTCCTGCTGCGGCCGGCTACCATTATTCTGGTACCTTTCCAAAGGTGGCCGTCTTTGAGGTGCAGGGCGAGTGGTCGGAAAGCGCCACTATTCGGTCCAACTGGCCCAGCTATCAGGAGCAGGTTTGCGATTATCAGGACTACCCAGGCCCACTCGGGCAGGCGTTCGCATGCACCGTTCCGCAGGCGAAACTCCCCGGTAAGAACACCAACACGCTTGCGTTGGTTGCAAAATGGATGTGGGCGGGGCCTCTAGCGTGGGTTTCGCGAAGCCCTCGACGCGAGCACCAGACTGTCACCGGTGTTCCAGTGTCCGACTGCAGTACCCACGATGGTTCCGACGAGCAGCCCGACCTCGTCCCCGACGCCCAGTTCGACGAGCAGCCCGACAAGCAATCAGACCTCCAGTCCGACCGCGCCCCCGACGTCCAGTCCGACGAGCAGCCCGACCTCCCGACGCCCAGCCCGACGCCTTCGCCGACTGCGGCCCCGACGAGCAGCCCGACCTCCAGTCCGCCCGCGCCCCCGACGTCCAGTCCGACGAGCAGCCCGACCTCCAGTCCGACCTCGTCCCCGACGCCCAGCCCGACGCCTTCGCCGACTTCGGCCCCGACGAGCAGCCCGACAAGCAGCCCGACCTCCAGTCCGACCGCCCGCACCCCCGACGTCCAGTCCGACGAGCAGCCCGACCTCCAGTCCGGCCTCGTCTTTCTCAAGGAATGTGGCGACGAGTTCGGCCGTTGCCGATCCCATATGAAGAATGTATTTGGCGAGCGTTTTGATTTGATGGCGCCAAGCAACCATGCTCTTACCAACATCTCTCGTGGAGAGGGCGCAAAAAAATGCTTCGCGTGCAGGCCGATGCACGCCGGTTGGGTAAGCAGTGCACGGATCTGTATGTCCAAGACTTGAACGTGACCGGGTCGTGGGGAGAGGCAAAACAAATTGGAGGTTTTCATTCTTGCGCATCGCAGAGCGAGGTCGAGGCTCCTAAGTGGGTTACTTTCTTTTGGTAAGACATAGCTGAAGGTCGTTCGTGGGCATACGGACGGCGGCACGTCGTACTTGAACGTGTACGTCAATCATTTAGGCCGAGCTGGGTTTGCTGTCGGAGGTCTGCTAGGTGAGGACGACCACAGTGACGCGAGCACGCCGGCGGCTGAGTGCGTGGAGCTTGTGAATCTACAGGATCAGCGCACGCTGCGGAATAGCAGTGCCCCCCGACCAGTCTCGACTGCAGAGGCAACATACGCTTAAGTTTGTTTTCCAATACGTGTTCTTGTTGTTTCAGTGGTGCAGTAGTTTATAAAAAGGTAATTGACTTGAACTGTTCATCGCAGGACAGTTTTGAAATTGTGAGAAAACAGAAAAGGCCACAAGAAGCCTCCAAGAAGTCTCCAGGACCCCCCCAGATGCCCACAATAAGGTCCCACAACTGCCTTCAAGGGCCCCGAGATGGTTGGAGACGTTCCAGGGGTATGTATGTATGTATGTGTATATGAATGCATGTATGTATGTGCGCGTATGTCTGTTACGTATGTACGTACGTACGTGCGTATACGTGATATGCGCACCTGCGTGTTACATCTTTCTACGTGGGTATAAGACTACATGTTTGTATGAATGGTCTATACAACACCTATGCGCCTATGCGCCTCGATGTGTCTACGCGTATCGTCGCGTCCGGGTCCCTCCTGCGGCAGGACCCGGACTGGGCCCGCATGACGGGTGGCTCCGAAGGGGGGGGGGCGGGGGCGGCCGCCCAGGCCCAGCTGCTGGAACAGCGCCTCGGCGAGGAACGCAGCAAAAAGGCCACGAAGTCGGGCAAGGCTGCCCTCCGCCAGGATCAGAAGAAGAGTTTGGTCAGCTCGGCGGCGAGGAGGACGAGGAGCAGGAGGAGGAGAAGGACGAGGATATCGGCGAGGGTGGACGAGGAGAGACAGACCCACCCCTTCTCTTTGCGAAAGTGCTGGATTCGACTGCTCGGCGGCGAGCCCGGGGGGAAGTGCGAAGTGGCGGGCCTTCCAAGAAGGCTTAGAAATCTCGATGGGTGATGCTACTTCCTTGAGCTGTAGCTGCGGAGTGTCTCACGATTGCGCAACGAATTGACGATACGATAACAGTGCGACGCCGCCAGAATTATTGTATTATGCTCAAATTACTGTCGCTCGTACATACAATGCAGGAGCATGATGACAGCACGCTCCGGACAATCACGATAGACCAAGAACAGGGGGGACTACACAAGCCCCACCATTCATCCGTCGGAGTGGTTGTGGTCACACACGCGACAAAGCACAACAACTTGGAGGCAACAGCAAGAGGCAACGGCTAGGAAGAATGGGAAGAAAGACAGGCGAGAAAGGGACACTCCTAACATCGCCAGTAGGAGATCTCTCAGTCAGTCCAAAGAACCAAAGAACGGAATTACAGAGCAACAAATTCCCTCCGTCGCCAGAAAACTATAATTCTGGACATTCGGACAACCGGTCCGCGCCCGTTCACGTGTACATAAAAGCAAGCAGGCACGAAAACATAAGCGTGCGCGCGCGTGCACCCCGCCGCCACCAGAAGAAAGCAGACCACTTCGGTCCCGTTGTCCTACAGAGCACGTCAAGACAAGTGAGAACATACAAACGCGCGCGTGCGTGCATCCCTCCACCACCAGAAGAAAGCAGCCAACTCTGGCCCCTTTGGCCGACAGAGTACGTCTAAGCGCAAGAGAACACACACACACACACCATACAGCACCGACACGCAACGACGATACGACACAAGCGAGAAGGAAAGAGAGGAAGAGAGGGAGGAAAAGACGGAGGAAGAGAGGCTTTCTGGAAAGTTTCCCAAATAATGTCCGAAAACAGAAGCTTTTCAGAAGGCCAGAGGCCCTCTGAGCAGCCCGGCCGCCTTCTGAGAGGACCTTCTCCTTCTCACTTCCCCCTTTCGTTCGCCGCCAATTAGCGCTCGGCAAAGTCTCTTTTTGCGGTGCCAAGGAGTCTCTGGTACTGACCCAATTCGTTGTTGCTGTCCGGGGGGAGGGAGCAGTTCTGCGGCTGATTGGTCACGTCAGTGCTCGGGCTGCCCCTGTGCTATTCTCGGGGACTCGTGAACGTACGCCAGAGCTGGTGTTTGCCGACGCGTTTTGACGAGCGTGTCCTGGATTTTGACCGGTCTTGATTTCGTGGGATGTTTGCAGCGGGAGATCGCGTCAAATTTCAGACTGACTCACGTCATTGTCATGGTGGCAATGCGAGGCCAATCCGAGCCCCACGAACCCGAGTCTTACGTTATGATGTTCCAGCTTCCTTTATCCTTCATCACCAACAACACCAGAAAAGTACCGAAACTCAAGGGTCCTCACGTGTCGGGCCCTTGGGGACACTCATCCGACACTGTTTCGACACTGCTTCGACACTTTTCCGGGCGCTCGAATTTGTTTATGGGATGTGGTCCTCACGTCTCCCCGACATTCAATCAATTCCCGCGGGGCCCAGCGCTGATCTGGTGGTGGTGTTGTTCTTGGTCCTTGCTCCAGCCTTTTGTGCCTCCGCTGTGCCTCCGCGCGGACGCAGGCCCCGTCTTCGACGTGAAAGGATCACGACGGAAGGTCGTTGGCAATTTTCGGCCTCTCGGGGCCATCGCCGGGGCCCGGGAGTTGTCAAACTATGACTCGGGATGAACATCGGAGGCGACGAGGGGGGCGAATAGCCCAGGGGAGAGCAATACATGTATTCAGGTGCGCCGATGATCTATATCTTCGAAGCGGCTCCCGGGCGAATGTGTGTAATGCCCGCCCCTGGGCTATTCGACCCTATCGCCGCCGCCGATCAACAGTCGATCCAAGGAAAAGGGTCGAGACATTTGTTGGTCGACGCTGTGGAAACGGCACGACCTCGGGCTCTGTGGACGCAGCGTGCTCCTTCTTGCTGTGTCCTGGACCCCCTGGGACCATCATCGCGACGAGATTGCGGAGGTACTGCGCCGCGCGGCTAAAAAGAATGGCGTTGGGGAACCGCAGAAGTGAAGCCTGAGGCGCCCAAGAGGAGCGACTGGCACCCGTTCTGGCCGCCTCGTCCCTCACCTCGTCCTCCTCCTCCTCCTCCTCCTCCTCATTCTCCTCCTCTTTCTCCTCCTCCTCCTCCTCCTCCTCGTCATCCTCATCCTCCTCCTCATCCTCATCCTCCGTTGCAATTTTGGTTCAAGTCTGGGACAGGCCCAGTTTTGAGTGCGGCAGCCTTTTTTCGCGGGGGCCGCCAGCTGTCAGAAGCTGACGGACACCTCCCCTGCTCCCGCTTTTTCCCACATCTCATGGTACGTGCACATGCGCCCGTGGATCCCCAGGATGCCCTGGATTTGGTTGCGGCGATCGACGCCGCCCCCACTTTCCCTTCGCAAGAACGTGGCAAGTGCAAAGCTGGCTCTCGTGCTATTTCTCGCAAGCTTCACCCTGGTGGTTCAGCTCGATGCGACCCTCCCCATGACGACCCCACCTCTGAAGATTTCCTGCGCCAGCTCTGCAGGGGGAGGACCAGTCGACCCTACATTCTGTAAACCCAGAGCGGCGGTGGAGCGGACTGAACTCCAGAGCGCGGCATGGGTAAAGGTGAAAAGCGTGATCTCAGTGGTGAGAAGGCGGTAGGACAGCTGCGACCGCGGCAGAAGCGAGCGGTGAGCATGTGGCGACGGAGAGGGAATATATGAAAAAAAGATACATACGGGTAGACATGACAGTGCGGTCTCGATCTTAGGCGCTGGTGGGTGGGTGGGTAAGAGCGCGCCGAAGAACGTTCTTCCCCCAACTCTCCCCCGCCCTCCACCCTTCTTTCTATCCTGGCCGATCTATACCTCAGAGGTGGATGCCGACGCGGAAATCGGAGTAGAAGGAGTATACGAGGTCGGAGGGGTGGTTGGTACACATGACAGGTCTATGCCACCGAGGTAGATGTCGACGCGGAAAACGGAGTAGATCAAGTATGCGAGGTCGGAGGGTGGTTGGTGCACATGACCTGTCTATGTTTCCGAGGTAGATGTCAACGCGGAAAACGGATATGGAGAATACGAGATAGGAGGGGCGGTTGGTGCGCATGGCTTTCGGTGGATGTGTGGTGGGGAGGGGTGGTAGTACTTGTGGTCGGCATCGGGCGCGTGGGCACCATGCGTGGCTTCGCACAGTGGCGAGGATGGCGACCGCCAGTAGTTAGGGGCGTAGTTTTGTGACGTAGTCGCTGAGCTCGTCGAGGAAGTGGTGGGCGAGGTCGTCGGCCGCGACGATGTGTTTCTGAATTGCCTCGGCCGTGTTGTAGCTGACCTGATGTGTATCCTGCCATTGTGGCAAGGGTATCGAGGTTGTCCAGGATGTCGTGGTGGTAGGATCGGCCGTCGTTGATGGCGTCTACGATCAAGGCCTTTCTGCTGCTTCGCATGCTGTTGGATTGGGCGATGGTTCCACGTGCCCGAAGTTCGCAATTGTTGTTGAAGGACACGTTGGGTATCGCAGCCTCGTCGCCCTCGTTGACACTGATGGTGCCGTGGGCAAAGGAGTCTTCGAGCTTCGTGTCGTGTGGGTATCGTATGGTGGCGACCATAGGGAAGGTGAGTGCGTCTGGGTTTACATTCTTTTGGATGGTCGTTGCAACTGGGAACCAGCCGTTGGCCTTCTTGGGTTCCACCTGTATGGGGGGCGGGTGGGTGGCGGTCATGCTGGTCTTCGTGGTACTGAGCGTCGGGTAGGCCGAGCTGGGTGGAGTGGTGGGCCTGTGCTGTTCGCCTGCTGTGGGTGTTTCCAGCTCGGTGCTCATAGTAACGAGGTCGGTCTTATCTTTTGCGTGTGCTATGTTGTCTTCTTTGATCGTCGGCGTGATAGTTGGGGTTTTGTATACTACGGGCTTGGGGTCTGGGTTGGGCAAGTTCGGAGAAATGGTGTCGCGGGCTTGGATGGATGTCGCGGTCGAGGGGGTTGTTGCTGGAGTTGTGTTTGCCATGCTGATACTGCCGCTGTTGGTAGATGTGGCCGTGCGGGTGCCTTTTGGTGCGTTATCGGTCACAGGAGTCGATGCTGGCTGCGCTGTCTGAGCCGGTTCGTCTTGTTGTGTCGGTACGCTCTGCGGGAAGATCTCGACGCGGACTTCGCGCTCAAAGATGCTGTAGTCGCCGTATGGTGTGAGGATGGGTTTGGCGATGCGTATTTGCTTGATACGGTGGAGAATGTGGCAGGCGCGTGGGGGGTGCAGGCCTGCCTCGCGTATCGGTGCGGAGACGAGCGGAGACGAGCAAATGGTCGCCGAAGACTATGCAGTGCTTGTGGGCTTGGATGAATTGGAAGTGGGAGAAAAAAAGGCCTCGTGCTTGCTCGCTGTACCATAGGTGTGCTCGATCGACTCAGTCGTGGAAATATGGGTCCCGCTGGTAGTCGGCACGCATCTGTGCGAGTTAGTCGCGGATACTGATTGTCATGGCTTGGTCGGCCTGCTCTCGTATGGCTGGGAAGTCTGGGATTGGGAGGTTGTCGGTGAAGAATGGTGGATATACGGGCCTCAGGCTGTGGTAGAAGCTGCCGTCCTTGTTGATGCTGAAGGCCTCGATGTTCTTTTCGGTAAGTCGTCGAGTACAGCTTGGGTCGTACATGGAGTCACTTGGGAACGCCCACTGAGTAATGCCCGTGCCCTTGTCGTAGTAGTAGTAGTAGTAGTAGTAGTAGTAGTAGTAGTAGTAGTAGAAGTAGAAGTAGTAGTAGTAGTAGTAGTAGTAGTAGCAGTAGTAATAGTATTAGTAGCAGTAGTAGTAGTAGCCGTCGTCGTCGTAGTAGTCGTAGTAGTAGTAGTAGTAGTAG